GCAGGCCCATTGCTCTAAATGTTTTCCATAACGATGAATATGATAAGCTCGAGGCGCGCATATTGATGCCGTCTTTAACCCAATTTCTCATGGCCCCTAACACGCCCAGTAAACCCATCGAAATGCCCATCAAAGTCGTTCATCGAAATATTTATTTGTGTTTATTTAATATCGTCAATATTTCCCATGCGCTTCACATGAAAAAAACATCTGATACAAATACTTTAGATAATTATTATAAATTATGCTAAACATGTTGTTGTTGTTGTTGTTCTATTGATTTATTTAACATAAGTATAAGGGCAAAGGCTAAACATACAAATTTGCTAATTGTGACTAATAACTCCAAGTTGAAATTCGCTATGATCGTACAGGTATATAGTAAATATATAGAATATATGTATATATGTATATATATATTTGTTTATAGAATTTAAAAATTACAATTTGTAAACTAAGAAATACTTGAAATAATTTGCATATGCCTATTAAAGAAATTTTATATGTATATATATATTTGTATTATAACTATATTATGCTAGAGATATAACTAAAAACTTGGCTTATAGATTAACAAATTCCACTATTCATTATGCAAACGATACAGATTGTCTTTTATTTTTATTTTTTTTCTTTTTGCATAATTTTGCAACGATTTGAGCTGATCTCGTTTCGATTCGATACGATTTCATTCCCTGTTGTCATCGTTCCGAAATACGCGCAACATTTCAAATTTGTTGTGCTTCTTCTTCTTCTTCATTGTTAATGCGTTGCATCTAATTAAGAACTCGACTCGCGCCGTTTGTTATAATTCTTTTCAGATCGAACATATGCTAATTTGTTCACAATTCTTGCCATTTCGTTAGTTGTTTTAAACGATGTGATAACATCTTCAAAGGCGAATAAAAATTCAAATACACATAAAAACAATAACAAACGATTCGAACCTTTAACTTAACATTGAACGCTGTTGTTGTTGTTGTATTTGGCTGGCGGTTTGGAAGTGGAAGAGGTGGTAGGAGAGCAAGCGGAAGGTGGTCAATGGTACATTTTATACATATTTTAGATAACACTATGCAACAAGATTTTTGCTTAATTTGGGAGATTTTTGCTGTGAATTAATTTATTTCAATTAATTTATAAATTATTTCAGTTGAATTTAGCTATTAACAATAATTTCATATTATTATTATTATTTTAATTTTTTAAATTTTATTAATATTAATTTGGTTTCTGGGTCCACTGTATGATAAAATAAACTGAAATATGCTAAAAATAATTGAACTATTAAAAAAATATATATTTTATATAGAATAATGCAAATGAAATCCAAGTATATTTAGCTAACAGTTATATTAAATTAAATCAGTGTGAATTTAAATTTTAACTTTAATGGAAATCTCTTCTACATTCGCGCCCATACTTTGTTGCATAGTGTTACGCCTAGCGGCAAACTGTCGCCATTTTGTCTAAGTTTGCGCGCCTATCGATCAAACCTTGTTGGTTAAATCGAGGGCCGTCGAAGTGGCCAGCTTCACGGGCAATTCGGCTGCGGGCGGGGAGCTCAGGCGCAAACGCTTCGAGCCGTTCGACTCCTGCAGCAGCTCGTTCAGTTTGCGTTTGATGCTATCGTTGGCCTCATTATCACTGGTGTTGCTATTGTTGTTGTTGTTGTTATTGTTGTTAGTATTGTTGTTGTTGTTGTTGTTGTTCAAGTTTTGGGTTTGCTCTATGCTGGTCTTGACCGTCTCCGTGGTGCTGTTATCCTCGAGCTCAGCCTCCGTGGACTCCTGCTCGTCGGCGTCCTCCTCGTCGAGGGCTGTTGCTCGTAGCACCCCATCCGCAGCTGGCTCCCTCTCAGCAGCTGGCTCATTATCGCTGCAGTTGTCGGCATCGAGCTGCGTGCAGCTGCTCTTAATACTGCTGCAGCTCCGGGAACTGGAGCCGGAGCTGCCCGTGGTCTTCATGCTCAAGTCAATGGGATTGTCCTGGGCTGCTGCTTGCCCATCCGCCAGTTGCTGCTCCGACTGCTGTTGGGCTGGAGAGCGCGGCGGCGTCATGGACACCACCAGATCCTCCTCATCCTCATCCCCCTCCTCCGGCTCCAGTTGCAGCTCCAGCTCCTCGTCGGCCGCCTTGTCGCTGCCTGTGCCCGTTCCGCGCTCCTCCTCGTCCGCCTCGCCGTTGCTCTGCCTGCTCTTCACGCGCTCCCGCCCGCTCTCCGAGTTGGGCGTGACCAGCGCCGATATGGAGTAGTCCTGCTTGCTGTGCGGCGGCAGCTTCGTCGCCAGCGGAGGCGGACTGTGCTGCTGCGACTTGAGCACGGCATCTAGGTAGAAGCGCTTCGTCAGCTCGTCCGCAGCACTCGTCGCTGTTCTGCTGCCATTGGGCAGCAAATTGTTGTTGTTGTTGCTGTTGCTGCTGCTGTGGTTGGGACTGAGAGCGGACTCCTCTTTGAGGCCGGCGTGGCCAAAGGGCGCCGAGGCGTGCAGCTGGGGTGCAAAGCGCTGCCCGCTCGCATTGCTCGAGTTGAACAAGTGCTGCACCGCCGCAGCAGCCACCGCCGCCTGCTGCTGCTCGGGCGTGGGCTTCAGCAGGCCCTGGTGATGGGAGTAGAGCGCAGGATGGTAGCCGGGGAAGAGCAGGTGTGAGGGCGGCAGAAATGCGGGCGGTGGCATCACGGGCATCGAGCCGAGACCCGGGAACGGCAATGGCAAAAACGGAGCCAGATCCTTGCGCAGCTGTGGCGGTCGCCCGGGCGCTGTGCCGCCCTGCACCGCTTGGCCGGCATCGCCGCCGGCGCTCTGCTTGCCCGCGCCCTGCAGCTGCAGCAGCGAGTTGCCACGCACGCTGCTCACCTCCACGGAGCTGTCCGAGTTGTGCGAGTCCGGCGAGCTGACCGACGGCGAGGCGACCAGCGCTGGATGCTTGATGCCGCCATAGTCGCCGCTGGCATCCAGGCCCAGCATCATCAGCTCCTCCTTGCTGCGCGGAGGTCCCGTTGCGTACAGGCCCGGGTAGCCGCCCGTCGCATGGCCCAGCATGCCCAGCGCCGCAGCCGCTGCCGAGGACGCGGGTCCGCCCGGCTTCACACAGCCGTTGGAGGCACCACCGATGGCCGCGTTGCCCGCCGCGCCCGCCTGCTGGCTGTTGTGGTGCGCCGCCATGGCAGCCACCGCCTGCTGCTGCTGCTCCTGCAGCAGGCAGTGGATCTTGAACCAATTGGAGCGGCGGCCATAGCGCGAGCCGCTCTTCGACATGCCCACCATGAGGCACTTCTTCAGGCGGCACGCCTTGCAGGCCGTGCGGTTCTTCTTGTTGATGATGCACTCGCCGTTGTTCTTGCAGTCCGATATGGAGGACAGATTGTTGTACGACCGGCCGAAGAAGGACTGCAAAGTAGAGAGCGTAGTGGAAACGTGGATTAGTAATGGGAGCAGAGCGAAGAGCTCTTAACTATTTGTTTCATTCCATGTTTGTTTCATTCTCGAGCATCTCACTGACAACTTGAGCTCTCTTCAGATCCCCTTACCATTTCTACCTCTTCTAGTCACTGATCTATTTGTTTGCTGCTCGATCAACTGTTGCCTTACTTTCAACTCACTCAACTCTTATTTGCTTTCCTACAGCAAATACCCAGAAGGAGCTCAAGTATTGCGGATGCCCTGTGCTGTATTATAGTAAGGAGTGCCTGCTCAACGAAAGTGTCAGATCAACGTAGTCGTTGCTCTTAGAGAGAAGGGAGCTTCCTCTTATATAGCTCATTATGCCTACTACATTTAAATATAATGAATAGAGTATCATCTAGCTCAGCATAGTCAAGTGTTCCTCAGCTATAAGCTAGCTCGCTCTCTCTCTCTCACTCTCTCTTTCTCACTGTCCCAGAGCTTCCTTATATAAGAAAGTTCATTATATCATGAACAGGGTATCATCTAGTTGAGCAAAGTCAAGTCTTCATCAACTACATGCTAACTCTCTGGCTCTCTCTCTCTCTCCCTCTCTTTCTCTCAGTTGCTTTTCATCGCCCTTAAGCCGTGATGTCATTCAGCAGTAATATCTCATTAAATTTTTGTGATGATTCATCAGCGGCTGCTGCTGCTGCTGCTTATTGTTGTTGTTGTTGTTGTGCACTGCCAAAAAAAGCCTGAGTAAAAAGCGCAGCGAATCGACATGCAACATGAACATGATCCACAGGCCAGAGTCAGAGCCAGAGCCGCAGCCACCTACACCTACGAGTGCAACATTAACCGTTGGCTGGGCCACAATCAATTGCAACAAAGCAAACAAACAATTTAATTCAATGCGGCACGAAAA